TCTTCAATGCCTCAAAGAACAGAAGGTAGATCTTTTACTTTTCATCTAGTATGAGTTTCAGACCCAGAGCAGGAAGTCCTTTAAGAGTAAGTGGCCTAGCTATTTCTATTCTGCTTCACATTGTGGTTCATATTAACCCTGTGTGTAAGGTCTGGAGGTTGGAGCAGGATCTGCCCTTTACTTTTACCTTGACATAGGAAGTAAAAACATAAAAAAAAATAAAAAAAATAAAAAAATAAAAATAAATTTAATGAAATTGTTACCTCTCCAGAAATCTTTCAGTATTTATTATTCTTTCTTTACTCAGGAATCAGTTGGTAAATTAGACTTAAAGCAAACACAGGATAGTCCTTTCTTCTAAACACTTTTATTGTTTTATTGCTAACCTGCTAAGGTTTTTGTAGTGGCTTATCTAAGTTATTGATTTAATTGATTAATACTCTGGTATGACATCACGTGGGATATCTATTGCTGCTATAAATTTCCATGCTTCATAGATGTAAATATATGTATTTATGTATGTGTATGTATGCATATATGTATGTGTAAGGATACATACATATGTGTGTTTATGTAAATCTAAGATTAGTACCAGGTGTGATAGAAGCAGACTGTTTTATATACAGGATATCAGGATGCATATAATCTTTAAAGAATTGAAAAAATACGGAAACCAATTAAAGTTGGTGTGGCAACTATCTTTATACACCAGCAATGCTAAGCAACATCATTGATAAAAATATTCCTCCCTGCTGGAGGTGGACCTCTCCCACTGACACCCACAAACATGCTGTCTCCCATATCACTGTTCAAAAAATTGTCCTTATAGAAAGTGGACCTTTTCTTGTTCCTGTGAGCATTCTGAAATATCTTAGAACAATTTTTAAAGTAAAACAAACAAAATCCTTAACCCCTGTATTTATTTGTGTGTGTAATGTGAACACATATGTGTGTGGAGGTCAGAGGACACCCCGTAGAAGTCAATTCTCTCCTCCCACTATGTGGGTTCCAGAGATTAACATAAGGCTTGATGGCAAGTGACTTTACCTGTGGAGTCATCCTGCCAGATCAGCTTTTAGTGCTGTGTTCCAACATAAAAGTACACTTCATGTCAAAGATACAAATGCATATTTCATAAAACAATCCTATTTTACACCTATAGTATGTGATACTGATTTTGAAAGAAATACTGCTGTGATGTTGTGCTTGGTCACCTAAATGGGAATCATTAATGAAGAGGTATAGGATGAAGTAGGTAGTTTCCATAGGTTGTTGCCAAGAGGTTTTCATTGAAATCAGAAATTAACTCAACTCTTAGGTGAGGGCAGAAACTGAGGCTTTAATTTATGTCCTTTGAAATGGGAGGCATGGGCAACAGGATGGTAGAAGACAGACGCTAACAGGAATGCTGAGGAATGTCGATGCTCCATCTTTGCTCTTCAGAGTTTCTCTCTCTCTCATCTGACATTGACCTAAGTACCATCTCAAGTTCTTAACAGGTACTCTATCTATACATTCACTTCTCTCACTGAATTCTGGCCATTTTTGTTAGCAATTCCCAAACCATGGAAGAATGAAGTTTGCTCATCTCTATCCTTTTTAAACCTTTGTGTTTTGTTTCCTTTGTCTCCAGTGAGTGTACTAATTCCTTGGTTATCTCTCTCACTGTCTATGCATAATTCAGGGTACCTGTCACTGGAGGTGTTACTCTGTGCCGGTAACTTATGAATGAAACCTGCAATAATGCAAATTCTGCTGGACAGGATTTCCTTTTGAAAGCTATAGTTACATGCCCAATTAACAGCAAGATGAAAGGTTTAAACTTCATGACACATCTCAAGTATTACAAATTATTCTCTTATCTACACTTTGACTTAGGATAGATACCAGTTGAAGACATGGTCAGTCATTAGCATTTCCAGAATGTTATTATAAGCAACTAAAAGTTTATCATCTAACCTTAGGTAATGGTTTGAAGGAGGGTGAGTTACTTGGTCTTGGTACTGCATAGTCACACAAATATTTCATGTCAAGTGAAATGAACCTAGACTTAGTTCCATAGAGACTGTATGGAAACATCAGAAATAAACATACGGTCTTCTTTTTAATTAGTAGTATTAACCTAGACTTTTATTTTTAACAGTTTGTCTTAATGATGCTACGATATAACACAAGAGCATAAAAAGACATTCAATGGCTGAGGAGCTGGTGAAGAGGAATACTATTTGCAGTACAGGTGATTTCCCAAATGGACATTTAATTATGAGAAAACTGACAAGTTGGTTAAACATATCAAAGCGAATTAATACAACATAGGAACATACCAAATTTAATCATTTTATCAGCCATTGTTTTTCCATAAGAAACTTTACAAAGGGTACATATTAATGCGAGCTTAAATATTAATTTATATGTGAAAGGGGCAATATATAATCATTTAAACAGTATATTTTAATGCAAAAGTTCATATTAGTTTTAAAATCAGAAAGAAGGTATTATAAAAATAGTAATAATTTTAAAATGATAGAAAATAATGGAAGAAAAGAAAAAGGAATCTAAGAATTCTGGTGAGTATAAAACTCAAATATTCCCTTTGGAATAAATTTTGGAATGTTCTCAGACAAACTATTTAACTACTCTTTTGTTTGTAATCCTTTGGTGTCACCAGGTGAAATAGCAATGATTGCCTAAATGAACATTACAAATATGTGTATATGTGTATCTGGTTTTCTGTTGAGGTCTTTGATCCACTTAGGGTTGAGTTTTGTGCAGTGCAGGGTGTTATTTATGGATTTATTTGCATTCTTCTACAATCAGATCAACACCATTTGTTGAAGATGCTTTCCCTTTTTTCCATTGAGAATTTCTAGTTTATCTCTGTATTACAACTTGAAATCAGGGACTATGATACCACCAACATTTTTTTTTGTTCAGATATATTTATCAATGAGGGCAATAAAATAATGGGAACTTAAACTGAGCTTCTAAATTTGAATTTCAATATCGTAGTTGCCAATTTCTAACTTATGGCTTTAAAAAAATTGATTTAATAAGATGAAACCTTCCTGGCATTCTGAAAAAGCAGGCAAAAGTTTCAAGTTTTAAGTTTGTAACTGCTATAAATAATCCTTCAGTATTTGTCCCCAAGGTTAAAGACTATAAACACCAGTATAAACATCAATATCGAATAGGAGACAACACAGTTGAGAGAGCTTTTGCTGACAAAACTCACCATTCCCTGAATTAGCATGAAACACTGTGTTTTCTATCTGTCTCTGGGTCTCTTTTTCCATCTCTGTCAGGAGGAAGTTCGTACTGCGTTGTTCCTGATACCCTTTTCTATTCTTAAATAATTATCCTTCTGTGATAAACTGATGAAGGAAAAACAGTGGTGCTCTTACTAGGGTCAAAATTCTGCTCCTCGGAAAGTATACATTGTCCCAGGTTCTCAGCACAATTGTGGAAGTGACTAAAATGTAAAGTGCCTCTGGATGAGACATCAGCATTCATCACAGATGAAATGCACCCCTGACACACAGCATTACAGCCTTTGTAGCCTCTGAGCTGCATAGCCATCGGGTGCATCATCTGGGTGCTGAATACCACACTGGCTGAGTCACTGGGTGAAAAAGAAGAGTAGCACTTTTGTAGGCTTACATGTATTTTTAATCTAGCTATAGGAACAATACATTAACACCCTGTCATTACATGGTTGTTTTAAGGCTGACTTTACTTTTGTAAAGAATGAACCCAACTTTTCACACACTTTGGTGTTGATACTACTAAATTTATACTACAAAGACTCATTGAGAAGTTATGGCTTATAGGAACCATCAACATTTACTATGTTGGGAATTTAAACAAGGAATTTACAGTACCAACTAATTTATTTAAAGTCACACTAATAACAGTTTACAAATATCTCTTTTATTTTTTTAATTGTTTTCCAAAAATTAATGGATCCCACTTTCAAAGTAAAGGCATGCTTTAGTTTTCCTTAAGATTTGAAATATATTCATTTCTTAACAGTGGTTGATAACATGGAATATGATGTCCTAGTGTATTATCCTAAAACTCACTGGTTCTGTGTACCTGTCCGGATCTTTCGGTGTGCACCATTTTATAAAATTCACTTAGAAATGCAAGTAGATCTAAATATGGACATATTCATCATACAAAAGTTATTACTTAACATCAGCACCTAATTCATGATATAAAATTCTAAGAGATGAGGAACAATTAAATTCCAAGCTTTAAATTTTCTTATTTTTAATTCAGAGTTTGAGTTTTATCACTAATCAAAATGAGGCGCTTACTTCACTGACTTTTAATATATTGTCTTATGCAAATGTAAGTCTAAATATGCACGCTATGTCAATTTTCCTTTGCATACTCATGGCACTTCAGTATATACAGGAAGTATCAACACATGCTTTCCATTTTGTCACCCAAGACACTTGTAAATGATCTGAACCTACCTTCAATATTAATAAATTAACAACCTGCACTGCTTGTGGATAGCAGTCAGTCCTCAGGAAGGCTGTTTTTGTTATTGTTTGTTTTGTTTGTTTGTTTAATGTCCCTGATTCTGACACAATATCATTGTTTTTATTTGTTGTGGCTTTTGCTAATAGAGTAAAAACAGAAAATGGCAGATTTGTGAAACAGTTTTGACCTCAGCAACTCACAAGAGTCTCAGGGCTCCTTGAGTTTGAAAAGTACCAAATTAAAAACTTCAAATAATATAAGTATCATCACAATCTTTCCAATATACTTCTAAATTTACTCAAAGTAAATTTCTTGACAATGAATTAAAGCATAAAATCATTCATTTAATGTTTAAGCAGAGAAATTTTAAACAAAAAAACATTTTAAAGTAAATCTAAGAATTTCTAATATCACACCCACAAGAAGCTAACACGTATAAGGGAGAAAACACAAGCGAGTCTTAGAATATGTATTAATCCATGTATTGTTTTCCATACCTTTTGGCTTATTACCTTTGAATTATTTCTTCCTTACATAGCATGTGTTTCTTTGGTTGACTGTCCTCGAAAATGATGCCAGAATGAAAACTCTGGAATCTTCTTTCTGAGATCCAAAACAAATGAAAGACACACACTCACCTTCCTGTTCCTAAGACTTAACCCTTTACCTCTGACTCAGCTATGGACTACAGAGACAATCAAGAGCCTGGAAGCTAGTCACATGGCACCTTTCCTTAGCCAATCAAAAGGCCACACAAACAACTGCTCAAATGAGGCTTTCATCCAGTAACCTGTAAGTACGACTGTCATTATTTGTGGCTCTTTGCCAGATGGATTCAAAGCCAAAATAACTCATCGGGTTTTACAACTTTCAAAGCATAGAAAGGAAACATTATATTCATTTTATATACGGGTTATATAATTTGTCAAGTCCTGAAGTTCATCAAAAGCAAAACTGATCAAAGTTGGAGAAAGTATCTTCATTTCTGGAAAGATTTTTGCTCTCTTTTTATATGCCTTTGTGCTCCTAAAGTGAATCAGCAGGAAGTCTCTGTCCGATGTAGCACCTTGACATTGACTACATTTTATGTTTTGGAATTTTTCTTTACTCTTGAGAATCTATGCATGCATAAATGAAGCATAACCTAATCCACCACCATCTTCCCTGTGTAACTCTGTCACATCATCCCACTATGGACCCTCCCCAACTTCACATCCTAGGCACTTCTTTTCACTAACTTAATAAATTCAGTTAGTGCTGTCTGTATGTGTATTGTGGCAGATCCATCCACAGGAGCATAGAAAATCTACCAGCAGCCACACTCTGACATTGAGCATCTATCTTTAACAGTGAGCAAGATGTTTCTTTCTTCTATCAACAATTCAGTCTGTGGCACAGCACAGACCACTATGAGCACCAACAACTTGAAGGTATGAGCAGATATTTGCTTTACAGAAATGAAATTGTTAGTTGTACCTTTAGAAATTTGATCCAGCATCTAGTTCAAAGGACATTGAGCAAACATCCCAAGGGGAAAAAAATGTAACTAGACCTTGGCTTTAAATTGTAGATAATTATCAATGCAGATAATCTTAAACAATGGTCTACTGTGTTATCAGTGTACCTTTTGTAGTGGTGATTTACCTAATACTTGACATAGGAAAGAGATGAGTCATAAGGCACCTTAAATTTTTCATTATGTTGCAGCACCTTGAAGACCTTTCCCAATCCACCTCTGCCCACCTATGAAATCTTTCCAATTCTCTGGGTTTGGCTTTCCTGTACCTTCTTTGTCACATTTTTTCCAATCCACTTTCTTTGCTTAAAGTGTCATCTGTATGTTCCTGATTATCAACCATTTTTAATCCTGATGTCTCCCCCAGCTCTAGGCTTGTATATACAAATCCCACTCAGCATTTTCACTTGTGTTTCAAATTGCACCTTCTACTTCACATCACTAATTTAATAATTAATTACCCTCTCTGGCAATCTCACAACTGCTTTTCCCTCACACTTCCAGTCTCAGGAAATTGCACTTTCCTTACCCATTGGCCGTGACAAGAGTGTGGAGAATCTTTGCAACAGTTTATCTTAGGTATGGGGAAAAGACAGCTTCACATGCTACCAATAGAACGACAGCCTCTTCTCAAACTTCTAAGCTTTAGAAAGTGACTTAAAGGTCTATTAATCCTGGCTTCCTCCTCCTTTCATTGTTTGTTTCCTTCTCCCCATATCACACAACTCACTCTAAAATGCATTAATTACTTGGTGCTAATAACAGTAGCTATCTGTATGAGACAGTCTAGTGCCTGTGCAGACAGGATAAGGAAGGCATCTACACAGAAGATGGAAATAAATATGTGTATGCACCCATAATGTCACATGTATGGCTAAGTATATATAATTTAGTTCTGTTCACTAAGAGGGGCTTAGAGCCAGAGAACCAAAGCATGCAACATTCAGGTTTGCTTTTGTAAACATTACTTTCCACCAGAGTTCTTTGGAGATAAGGCTCATTATAAGGATGAATCAGAAACTACAAATTGTGCCTGGAACTTTTGTTCTTCTAGACATGATGGAAACAATTAAGGGACTTTGTCACAAAAAAAGCTTAATCTTAAAGTGATTAACACTGAATAATTTTGTATCAATGTAAACAGCAATAAAACTATAGTTTCTTTTTATATAAAACTGGGAACCAAAAAAAGGATATTGATATAAATAACAACTGAATAAGGAAATGGAAAGATGTGCAAAGAGAATGGTACATTAGATAAACCAAATCTGGCAGCCATTTAACAAGGATTGCTTTAAATACACAGCATCACTGGGAGTTACAGACAGCAAATTAGATGTATAGAGATAACTGAATACTCAGGTAGACTCAATATAAGACACATACACAAAAATACTTACAAACATTTGAATGTTACAAAGGAGAAATGTGACAGGTTACCTTCTTAATAAAGTGATACAAATAATTATCACTAAAAATGGGGCAAGTTGAAATTGTGTCTTAGAATGTAAGGAGAAGACAACAGCATGATTTTTGTGATATGTCCAAAATCTTATAGTATCAAACTGAGAGACACCTTGTAAAGTAAGTGGCTTCTAGATTTCAAAAGTATGACAGTCATAAAGGTTGATGAAAGACGACAGAGTCCTCCAGAACACAACATATAACCCTGGTGTTTTTGTTAGGAACAATGCAACAGGGCATGCAAATCAGGAGAGAAATGATCTTATGTTTGATGTTTTTACCATACAAGTTGATATCTGCATGGGGCAGAAACAGGACCTTTATGTATACAAATAATATGGAAAAAACAAAGTTCTGCTAGTTGTCTTAAACCGTTTTTTCTACCATTGAATTTTTTTTCAAAAAGAAAAAGAAAGCTCCAATGAAGAAGAGATTAATGGCAAAACCACAGTTCCCCAATTATTTTCCATAATGGAAATACAGGAAAGATAATTTTCAAAGTTCAGAGAAAAGACTCTCTTTGGTTTACATTTGTTGCAACTGGATCCTCTCCAAATTCTTCAAAGTAATTATCATGATTATATGTTTATTAGGCCACTCAATAAATATTCTTTTTGGATTAATGCCTTTGATAAACATTTATTTACGCTGAATTTTGTAACCCTACTATATTTACAGAACTTATGGATGCAAATTAAAACATATTATTTTGATATTACTTGAATCTTTTTTAACTTTGGTTTTCTGTGTTTTTGAACTTTTGTTTTCTGTGTTTCTCTAATAATATTGACTCATTTACCTATTGAACAGTTTCTAAAATACTTGATAATTTACCTTAAACAAATAGATATTAATCATTTCTTTTCTAAATATATAAATGTCCTGTATAAGAAGTGTGGTGTTTTGTAAAATTACTATATCAAGGCTAATTAATTAGGAACTAGCTTTAAATCACATAATATTATTTTGATATTTATGAAAAATAAGAAAAAAATTAAATAGTGACAGGACAAAATTATTGTGATTTTTTCCCTATAAAGTCATGTTCTGGATGACTGTTTCTTTATATCCAACAATGCTTCTTGCTACTTATTTCTTCCTTAGTTCATGTCAATTTTCTAGTAGGAAATGATTAATGTTTGTGAAATCTTATGTTATATGAGAACTTACTGTTAGTTTTTATTTCTTTTCAGATGGTTCCTATCCCACATTTAATTGCTAATATCTCATAAATAAAGAAGAGATGAAGGTTGAGGAGGAAGTCATAGGTTGATATTCACGTGTAGATGGTTTCTTGCTTTCTTCATTCTTTCTGTTTTGGGAGATGTTGTAGGATCAATGTTTACTCACTACACTTAGACATGAAAATAAATATAGTTGCTTTTATTTTTCTTTAATAGTCTTTATCTTTCTCCTGCTTCTGTTTTTCCTTTTTGATATGTAAATAACTATGTATTTCTTTTAAACTTTGTGTTTCACTCTCCAACTGATCTGGATCGTTTTCTTGGATTCGAAGTTCCATCTCAGGGTTTGTCTATATGATTCTGTTCAGGAACAGGCCTGATTTATTATAATATTTTACTGATTTTTTTGAAACCCTTCTCTTCTCCTTCCAAGACAATACCTTGATATAGGGTCAAATATTGTTTGTAAGACACCTGTTAGTAAAGGTCTCAGGATCACAGGACATACACTTCATCTTTCTGCATCTCTGGTCTGGTCCTTGGACTTGTCAACACTGGAGTGTTATGGACACCTATGTGAGTTAGGTGTACCATTCTGGCACGCACTACTAAGGGCCAATCTGGGCCAATTGTTTCTCTTGAGAGTCCCTTTTTTCTTTACACAGTTTAAGCCTAGGTTTTCTTCAGTTTCTGAGCCCTTTGAGCAACCCTTGAGTTCCCTCTGACTTACACAGGAGCAGATTTTTCTCCCTGTATCTATGCCATGGGGATCAGGATGCACACTTGTCTATCTTGCCTTCTGTCTCCTGTTGGATGTGCTACACTATCCCACAGCACACTTGGCAAATGTGTATGTCCAAGGCTTCAATTAGATATCCCAGCTACCCTCACCTGTCACATCTCCAGTGTTTTGGGCACATACATATCATTTTTTTACTTTTGGAGTTCCACCTCAAGAGAAAGTATGAAAAGGCACCTGACTGCCCTTGCTAACTCCTGCTTTTCTCTTTCGTCCCATACTTCAGTGGAATGGAAGGAATACCTATGTCTTCCTTTTTCTAACACAAATTTACCTTCCTTCATTAGTACCTTTGGCAAGGCAGTAGTTCTGTTTGGTTTTGAAGAAGAAATGCCTTTTATAACTACAGAAATAATTCAGCCGGACAGTGGTGGCGCACGTCTTTAATCCTAGCACTCGGGAGGCAGAGGCAGGCAGATCTCTGTGAGTTCGAGGCCAGGCTGGACCGACAGCCTCCAAAACAATACAAAGAAACCTTGTCTTGTAAAACCAAAAAAAATTCAAAGATCTTGAATGATACTGTTTATAAGTTGGAGATTTTTGTTGATTGGCAGAGTTTAAGCATTAAAATCTATTTTTCAACTACAAGTTAAACTTATTTGAGATTTTAAAAGTTGAGGCTAGAGACAGAAAGATGACCTAGTCATTAAGAGTACTGGCTGTTCTTCAAG